ATTTAAATTTTTTTTAATAATAATATATGTTAATTTTTACATTTTTTTTATTATATTTAAAAATAAATGAATATTTTATTTTATTTTAGAAAAAAAAAAAAAATGAATAATTTTTTTTTTATAAAAAAATATTTTTTAAAAACATTTTGTTAATATAAAAAGCTAAATATTATTTTGTTTAAATTTTTTAACTTTTTATTTTTTTTAAAATAAATATATTATTTATATTTAAATTTTTTAAATTGTCTAAATTAATTTGATTTTAATTAATATTTAAATTAATTTTTATTTATATATTTTAGAATAAGTTTATTTAATATTCTTTATAATATTAAATATGAAAGGAATATTATAATATAAATTTATATATTCTAATTGAAAAGTAAATATATATTAAATATTATTTTAATTTAATATTAGATAATTTTTTATATTTGCTAACAATATATTATTGTATTTTATTTAAATAACAGATATTTTATTTACTATAATATAATTTTTTGATTTTTGCTATATATATACATAAATAAATGAATTTTTGTTAATTAAAAAAAGTAATTTTAAATAGTTTAAAATATATATATATAAATTTTCGTAATATTATAATAGTATATTTATTATATTTTAATCTTTTAATTAGAAATTATATAATTTTATAATAAAATTAAATTAATATTATTAATTTTTTAACTATATATTATTTTAATTATAAAGATATATATAATTATTATTTATTGAAAAGCTTTTTTATTTTTTTGTTCTAAAAAAAATTAATTCAATTTTAATTTCTTTTATTTTAAATTTAATATTTATAAAAAATATTAAAAAATAAAATAAAATTATTAATTTTTATTTTTTCTAATGTATAAAAATATATAAATATTATAAAAAAAATACAAAATTAAATATTAATTTTATATACAATATTATTTAAAAAAAATTAATATATAGCTATTGCTTTGAAATTCGGTATATGTTGTTTCTTTATATTGTTAAACCTACCCTATTACCTTATGTTTTAGTTAAAATTATGACTTTTTTCATGCTAAATATCCCTTTATTTACACTTCAATAAAATTTTGGATAACTTAAACTCGAGAATCTCTACAAACCTTAATTAATAGCACTTTGTTTTCAGGTTTAATAAATTTAAGAAAAGACATAAAAAAATATTGATATTTTAAGCTGAAAAAAAGTTATAATGTCTATTCCTCCCAAAAATTATACTTATATATATGTAATCGGAGTTAATCATAAAAAATACAAATCTTCTAAAATATAATTTATAATACTTCTTGTGTGTCCTTTTTGTAAAAGTTTTGTTTCAAAAATGAGAAGTTCTTGAATTGGATTAATAAATACTTAAAATTCAGCTACAACCATATAATTAGTAGTAGATGGAGCTTCCAAAAGACGAATATAGTGGAGAACAGGGAGGAAGGGTGAGGCTTCAGTTAATATTTTTTCGACTACTATAGATATTATGAAGGCTGTAAGTTGGAAATGACATTCCGAAAATAAAAGAGAACAGTTATGGTTTTTAGAGTACCTGATTTTAATTTATCGTGTGTAAATTTAATTTCAGGCAAGGATAGGATTCTAGTCATAAAGATATTATTCAGGGTTATTTAAGAAACTTATTAAGTCGAATTTAAAGTATTTTTATTTATTTATTTTAAAAAAACAAAAATAAGTGATTATTAGGGTATACTGCGTTTGAATATAGCTTTTGATTTGGTTATATAATTTAAAAAATGTGATTTTTTTTTTTTTTTTTTTTTTACGTAAATAAAATCTTACTTTTTTGTATTTTTTTGTATTTTTTTTTAAATTTAGTTTAGTTTTAGATAAGTTTATTTATTTTTTTATTAAAAAATTTATTGAAATTTATTTAAAATGATTTTTCATATTTTAAATTTATAATTTTTTGCTTTTATATATATAAGCTTTTTTAAATATTTATATTTTATTATTATAAATTTAGCTAAGCTATTTTAATTTTTTATTTTTCACTAAATTTTAAATAATAATAATAATAATATAAAAAATAGGTAGAATATATTTATTATAAATATAAAATATAAATTTAATTTTGGTATAAAAAAAAAATGAATTGTAATAATAAAGATAAAATTTAGTAAAAAAATTAAAATTTTTAACAAGATAATTAGTTTGTATATTAATCACCAATAGTATTAAAATATATCTTATTTGTTTATCTAAAATAATAAAATAAATAGAAAAATAGTAAGTCTATATTTAATAGTTAATAAATGCAATTAATATAAATGGCGCCTATTAAATAAAAAAAGAGTATAAATATTTAAAAGAAACTTAAAAAAAAAAAGAAAAAGAAGTTTAAATAATTCATATCTAAAGATGAATAATCTCAAAAACGTTTATAGGATAAATAAGTGAATTAGTTAATTTTAAATGATCAGTTTAAAAAATTAAATTTAAACGAAAATTTTGAAATAGAAAACGAATTTAATGAAAAATAAGAAAATTTAAAGAAAAAAGTAAAATTTTATTTGAAAAATTACATATATATTGACATTTTTTTTAGATTTTTAAAGAAATATTTAATTTTTTTAATTAATTAAATTAAAAAAGGTTTAGAATCGAATACAAATATGTAAAAAAAATTATATTTTATAATTTTATTATTTTTTTATAGGATATAATGCTTAAAATAAACTAAGAATTAATTAATTATGAAGTAATATTTTTTGTTTATAAAATAATATCAATTTTTTTTTAGATTTTATTTAATAGATTTTAGTAAATATATTTAAAGGAATTAAATATTAATGATTTAAAGGAAAAACTAATAAAAGTTTAAGGTTTATGTCTATTATAAAATAATATGGAACAATAATAAAAAGAAATAATGATTATTATGTAAAAAAGTTATTTTAATATTTTTATAAAAGAAATCTAAATCAATTGAATTTAAAAAAAAAAAAATATTTAAAAGAATTATTAAAAAAACTATTTTTTTTTCTTTAATGTTTAAATTTTTATAACTTTATTTTTATTTATAATATAATAAAATGTATATGTTAATAAATAAGAATAAATATAAATATATATATATATATATATATATATATATATATATATATATATATATATATATATATATATATATATA